ATTCCCTTTCTCTGGGTTGTGTTTCTTGGAGGTGCACGTTGGGCAGCTATTTCTTAAACTAAGGAAGAAGGCAGAGGAGCCAGGGCAGCCCTACAGGTAGCTGGTGACTAAGTTTCAGCAGTCTCAGATAGTGACTCGGTATCCCAGGTCAAGCTTACTTGCAAGCAGACTGTATGACAAGGAAGCTGTGGCCTTGGCCTGTGTTTGAGACCCTGGGCCAAATTCAGAACTGAAGAAAATGAATCTTTCATATTGTCCATCCCCGTTGCCATACATGCCATCTGGGGCAGATGGGTTTAGTTCACTTCCCACCTACTTTACGCTATGGGACTTGCTCCCATCTCAGCTGCATGTCAGTTCTAAGTGAAAGGTGTGACTGCATGGGCACTTCAAAGAGACCAGACCCTCCAAATTACCCATGGAAGGAGAATTCAGATATCCAGCCAGGCCTGCTCCTAATGCTCACTTGTCAGCAAGAGACAATAAATACACCAAAACGTATGTGACCTCAAGGGGGCCAGATCCATTCCATTTTGTCAATCACATCTTATATCTAAGCCTTTGGGGCTAAAAATGCTCTCTGGTTCACAGCTGCAGCTCAATGGAAGGCATGGGGATTTTATTGTTGTATCCTATGGGAGGGTGCTGCTTTTGACAGTTGTCCTTCTGGCTAGAAGATGTGAAAAGCTCAGATATTCCCCTCCATTTCCTTTATGCAAACTTCTGTCCTCGTAGGCCTCTCATCACAAGCGTTTGGGATGAAAGCCAACCAGGTGGAATTAACCAAAGTTGCTTACATGTTCATGCCTCCCACTGCCCTTTCACATTGTGGTCAATGGGGTGAGTTGATTTGGATTGATTTGGAAGAGGCTTTGACATTTTTCTGAATATTTTCCATCTTTTCCAGGAGGTTATGGCTGTTCTACCTGTCAAATTCAGTCTCTCTGATATACTTACCATTGACCGTTCTCTCCTTCCTGCACAAACTGCACTAAATCTCCATCCTCGAGTGTAAGAGAATCTGGGAAACAGCTGTCAAAACTGCCTTCTACCCGAAAAAGATTGGTGCCCTAAAATGAATGAAACCAGAAATACAGTCACTATGGATGAAAGAACACTGTGCAAGAGAGAACAAGTTTAGTTAAATACTGAATTAGGCGTTTCAGGCTGGCAGAAATTTCTTCCATAGGGAATTGTGTCACATTATATTCCTTTTATCATGCCTAGGTTAAATGTTATTCAAACTTTGGACAGAACTGCGCTGTGCATTCAGGCTTTAGAATTAACCGGCCAGCTATTATTCTTATATAGAAATTGGGTTTGTGACACCAGGTTAAGTTATCTGGAAAAGTCTGGAATTACTTTTTTAAAGGTTCAGAATTTTCCCTCACTTTTGTAACATGTAAAGCTACTAAAGCTACAGCTTACAAGTAAGGGTGACTTTTTATGGTTCTGATCCTGATCAACAAGATAGTCTTGGAACAATCTCCCAACACCCCAGACCAAATTCCCATCTTCTGTATTCCCACACATCCATGAATTCAAGGCTGGTATGAACCCAAACTTTGCAGGTTAAATCATGAGGTTGCACTGGGAAAGGGCAGCATAATTTGAAAAAGGAATTACATTGTTAGGGTTGGTCTCTTCCTCCAAGTCAGAAGAATTGGAGAGTTCATCTGTGCTGGAGGGAATGGCTTCGAAATCTTCAAATGTGTCTAGAGACGGCATTTGCCTGCTGGGCCAACCTTTTCAAAGGAGATAAAACAAAAAGAGTTAGCTATCAGTCATCAGCTTCTTTCATACTCAGTCTTTTAAAAATAAATGTCACAGGTTCACTTCCCACTGTTCCACTTACGGAATTGCTTGTACCTTTTACAGCTTGTTCCCTGATTTTGCCATAAAAATTATGTTGCAGCCATTATTCTGTCTCTAAAAACCTGTACCACTTGCTGTCATTTGTGGGAGGGCAAACTGTGTGGCTACAGTGTGCATGCCCATCAACACCTCGAGTGTTTAGCATTGCTAAATCTCACCAGGTCAGGAGGTACAAAACGCAAGGATCAGGAATATTTCTGTGGAACAAGCACTGTAGCAAATTATAACTTCTGCTGACATGATTTTCAGAAGGCCATGCTCATTCATTTTCCAGCCTACCTCCGAAGGATCAGGAATATTTCTGTGGAACAAGCGCTGTAGCAAATTATAACTTCTGCTGACGTGATTTTCAGAAGGCCATGCTCATTCAGTTTCCAGCCTACCTCCACATGTTTATCTATAAATTGAAGTCCAAAGCCATTGAATTTCGGTTGACGTCTTATCTCCATCCCAACCCAGGGTGATATTACCACCTGAGGACCTTACAAGACTACACTCTGGAGCAGGCTGGAAGTGCAGGGAAGGGACAGAGAAAACAAGGCACAAAGACAACCAGACCTTGGTGGTAGGTAGAGAAGTTCTCATTAATACACCTGCTGTTAGAAGTCTTATTTGCATGATTTGCACCCAAAACCACCCCAGCCCAGTGGAAGGGACTTAATGAGAGATTTCCAGCCCAAGCACAACAGCCAGTCTCTTTATCTACAAAGGCATGCCCAGAGGATGTGTGCTGAGGGAAATTCAGGCTGACCCTTATAAGGCCTGCCTGCCTGCAGCTCCCATGACAGAAAAGTAACTCAGCCTCATCTGTACAGATGGCAATCATGACCTACGCTTTCCTTCACACTTGATGCCTGTCCCTTTTCTGACGGGGATGACTACAGTCCAGCTAGGAGGAAAGAGGCCTTGTATCTACCAAGGGATTCTGCAGCCCTGACAGATACGAGCTGAATGGATTCAGCCAAATCACCATGTGCCTTCCTACTTAATGTACCTACTGTGTATTAGTTGATTCACAGGGACTTGGGCAGAGCAGACGCTGAATCAAGTTCTTTACAGCCTGTGGGCCATTGCTCTTGACAAGGCAAAGCAGTGCTCTGACGACAGGGCACGGAGACAGATGCTCATGCAGTGGGATTATGCATAACGCAGCACCCACAACCCACAGCAAAACCTGGCCTGAGACAACACAAAACCCAAGCCAGGGAGTTCAGGCAGAAAACAGAAAGGCAATCTGATCTGGAGAAATAGGTTTAATTGATTTATTTAATCCCTCGCCATGCACATCCTCCCTGCTACAGGCACTGGTTGGTCATGCAGCTCTGCTGCCCCTTCTCCCTCCTGTTCCCCGGGGGCTGTGACTGCCCCAACCACTGCAGCTCAGTTCCAAGAGACGGTGACCTTCTCCCACCACAGCAGCATCCCCAGTTACAACCCTACAGGTATGGTCAGGTCATCCCTACTTTTCAAAGCTGTAAACTAGCCTCTGAAATTGCATTCATGTGCTGGGTTGTGAGTGTCCCTGCCAAGGTTTATACCAAAAGAATTTTGAGACAGAAGAGACAATTTCAATTACAGACCATGCAGCATATAGAACTGGATCCCATATTCGGTATCAGTTGAGTCACACCAGCAAAATACTAGCAACTGTCTAAACATAGAAGAATACATTGATGCTAATTAGCTTCAAACTGCTACAGCAATTTTAGTTCAAATTCACAGGTTGGGCTACAGACACTAAAGGAAAAAGACATCCCTCTTCCCCCTTAGACAAAGCTTCAGTAATCTTTTGCCACTGTCATTTGTAGAAAGCATCCAAGGCAGAAATGTAAACAGCAAGGATTCCTTACAAATACATGCATCAGCCTTCGTCTTCCATACAAATTGCTATTCTGATTTCAGAGACTAAGAAATAGCCTAAGTTTTATGTACTTAGTTCAAGCTATAAAATAACACAGATCAAAATTCTGAGCTTTCTGACACCAATTAAAAGAATTATTTTCAGCTCTGCCCAACCTACAGAAAACCAGAATCTGGGACATTGTTTCTATACCTGCTAGTGATCCAAACTTGTTCTTTCGTTGCTCTCACAAGAAATAATGTTCATTAAAAGAGAAAAATCTCTTTAAGTTAAAGAGAGTAAATACTATCGTAAATTTATATTACACTCTCAAATTGAGATGATAAATGTTTTAGCTTTGTTTACCTGTCTGTGAAGCAGATCTAGGTACAGGTCTCGTGGTGGAACCGGTATTACATTTAGTCTGGGCCAATATGGTGTTCTCAAAAGCATCTGTGACAGGAAGTACAGTTTGTGTCTTCAAGGTGAAATAGTGACCAGACAACCAGTACAAAGTGAATTCCTCTATCACCTCTGCAACTGGTAGTCTCTTTAACAAAGAGGTGGACTGCGGTCCAACAGTTATAAAAGAGAAGACACATGACCAGCACAAATGAGTGAAAAGACAGCAGCATTCCACAGAAAAACTGTACGTCTGAGAAGGACAGAGAACAGCCAAATGAATCAGACAGAAATATTGAAGTTAATTAAGGAAAATGATTGCTAGGTGAACAGTGCAGTGTTCTATTTCACTACAGCTTCCTTACACGTTTTTAACATTTTCCTTGCAGCATTTCAAATCATTCTGTAGGTGATGGTATATGATTTTGATACCCATCTACACAGCAATGAAAGGGGACCAGGGATGCTCTTCTTCCCAGCCAGAAATTAATGATTTCGCTCTCGATGAATGCAACGCCATTTTGTGGGGGAAGTTTTTATCTAAGTACATCAAATCCGTCACATTATTAACTCTGTCAGAGCCCTGGCAATAGCAGCAATATCTTCTGGTAAAGGGATGATAATGTTCATTGTTTCCTACTTAAAGAAACTCGGTCTGGTGAGGGATGTTGTGCAGCGGGACCATGTTTTAAATCAGTGAGGAAAAACTCAGCTCTGTGGATAGTACTTGTACCTTGAAATACCTGCTACCTCTGCAGCCACATGGTACACTGAGATCAGAAGTATGTGTCAGTGAGTGAAGTGAGGTATAAACACCACAGTTTGGGAAACTCTGGTGCTGGGTGCCAGGATGATTCCAAACATAGCGCCAGGGGTCACTTGCAAAAGGAAATATTCTGCAAACAGCAAAACTGCTATTTCCTCTCCTGTCTCTGAATTGTTTCTTCCAACCGCTCTGTTCCAGTCTCCTCTGCTGCTGGGAGTGACATAGGAGATAGCTCTGATATGTCACTGATTCCATCACTGACCTGGCCACCTGCCCTTTCTACGACGATTTTGTGCAGAGCAACACAATCCTAAGAAAGGATTCCTCAGCTTACATCTCTCTCCTCCCTGTCCTGCAGCAGGCGTACCTGACTGCTTGTGCCCCACAAGGCAACATGCTCTGGCAAATGCTCATGTAAAGGGGAAAGCTGACAATGGAAGCTGGTGATCTGCCGGTGGCTGGGGAATAATTTCCCAGTTTAACTCTCTGGTATTTTTTATTAAACAGTAATTGATGAATTTGCTGCAACAAACGGGTGGAAATTCTGCTTGGCTGAAATGAAACACTGCACCTTAAATGGATATTAATGCACAGTCTAGCCTCTTCTGTAGTCTTCATGCACATGGCTCCTGCACCTCTTATTAGGTACAGACACTAACAAGGGAAGAGAGATGCAAGCGGCCAGATTGCAGGTGAAGGTGAAAAGTAGCCCCTTGGCTCCCTGCTGCTGCACTCTACGGAGTGAGGTAGAAGCCAGGCAGAAAATCCAGATCCAGGTGACAGTCTAGAGCATTACTTCCCAAAACGGGGTTTTAATTTAGACCCATCCCTAGGTGAAAGTTGGTAAATATGAGTGCAGGGGACAGGCAAGGAGGTGACAGGCTATGTTTACCACAGTTAAACAGATAAACTGACACCAAACTCCTAACGGACTCTAGTGGCATCTGCCAGCAGTGATGAGAGGTGAATTCAGTGAATAATACCAAAAGACTGGCAAACAGGTTTTCATGCAGAATGGAAATACTCATACCTTCAAACCCCAGGGGAGTTGGGTCACTCTTTATTTCATGTCTCTTGACTTTAACTGCAGGAACAAGGGGACCTGTGTGAAGTTTGCAGAGTCACAAGGCTGTAAATATTGTTAAAGGAGAAACTTGCTTTCCCATTACCTGGAAAAACTACCTGCGTAATACTTTCCCTTTCACCCAGAAAAATGACCAACGCCTACATTCTAGGTGGTGAAGATAAACATTTCTGTGAAGTGGATGGGAAACAGACCCCCTTTTGCAAAAGACATGACGACATTGTATATGTATCTGCTTCCGATCAGGTTTCACAGATGTTTTCTCTCGCTCTTGTGCAGGACATGGCACTACCGCAGGCAGACTCACAATCTCAGCTTTCTACCCAGGAGGCTGGCAGGGAAGAGCCCACAACAGCCAACACTTAGGCCCCAAAGAAGTGGAGGGCATTGGTCACAGGTCCACGTACAGTGCTTCTCCTGTGTCCTGACTCCACATGTGGAGGACTGGTGATGTGACAAAGGATCAGCACACAGCACTATGCAGTAGCCTTGAATGTGATTATCCAAACACCCTGGCTAGACCTGCATTTGGCTGATGCTGAGATAAGACTCAGGCTTCAGTTCTTTTGTCATCTGAAATATTTTCTTAAAGCAGATGCTGTAAATAAAACATTTGATTGAAAAGCACTGATTTCGTTTGCTAGCTTTTACAATCATTACAAAAGTAGTTTTCCCTGCCAACAGTCTTCTGGCAGACAGGATCCTAGGACAGAATTTTTTAATATGAAACTGTAACAAAGTTTGAATTTCATTGTAATTCACACATGCTGTCTTTGATAAACCACACTAAAGAACAGCCCTTGGTTGCACATTCTTTTTGTACATGTGCGCTTCTTTCTGTTTCCCAGCTTTGGAAACAAATACTAGGAAATAGTTCAGTCTTCCCATAACTTTGTAACTGATCATGTGTTTCTGAAGCTGTTGCCAAGGCCAGAAAGCTAAGAACCTCTTCTCCTGTACTATGCCCATCATTTCATGCGGTGATGTTTTAGTGTTATGATCTAAATAAGTTGGCAAAGAAACATTTGTAGGTAGTGGTAATATCACATCCTTCCTCTGCCAATAAACCCCACCATGCTCTCCTTTCATGACAGCCTCATTGCACAGTCAAGGATACGGTTCATATCCTTCACAACTATTTAGAATGCACTACATACAGTGCAACTTTCTTCCTGACAAATATATAGCAAAGATTTTATACAAACGAATTCAGCTGTTTTTCCTTCTACTTTGGTTTGTGAATTGCCCTGCAAATCTTTAACTTGCAAGTCAGTTCCTCTGCTTCATTCCAGGAACTGCCAAAAGACAGTATATTCAGAATTTGATGTAAAACCGTATGTTCTCTTCTCAAAAGCAACTCTGATGTGTAGGCATAGGTTCCTACAATCCTACTGATTTTGAACACAACCAGCTTGCCCAAATGCATAGGTTGCTTTTGAGTTTAGATGTAGGCACTAGTGCAGAAACTTAAAGTAAATTTTGCAAAAGTGCCTTTTCTCAAAATAATTATAGCTGAAGAATAAAACTTTCATAAGTTCCCACACAAACTGCATAGAGTTCAGTGCATTCTAGGCACCTAGCTCCCTTACATGTGTCTCAAAAATTCCTTGCAAACATAATTTCTCATCATAACTGTGATTATGCTATATATGCTTAAAACTGGCATCTATTGCTACTCCATGTTTGGCTTGATTTCAGGCTTTCTTACCATCTGACATCTGCTACGCAATGAGGAGATTATCTCCTTCTTCAAAGCAAAAATCCTCAACAGTTTTAAGGAAACAGAGAAATAATTTCTATTTAATTTCAATTAATCCAAACCAGGGCGAAGTTGGAAACCTAACCTCACATCAGCCAAAAATTAATCCAGTTTCCATGGAAACTAGCACCACTCTTTGAAGCCTATTATGGAGAAACTGAGAAGAGTCACGACATATGCTGGCAGCACACCTTGATGTACATTCAAAATGTCTTGGCCTGCCTCCCTGCAGGTGTTACATTGGTCCTGACTCTTCTCCTACTGGAATCTCCTGCATTTATAAAAACTGGACCTGATGTACTCACTCAGTGAACAGCATTTGGCAGGAAATGTATCAGCCAGCAGGAAGGGAGAAGGGTAGCTAAGCAAGCAGCATGACGGTACCTTTGGTCACAGCAGAAGCATTAACTGTGGTGCTGATGGAGGAGGCTAGGGAAAAGCGACGGGTAACTTCTCTTTCCTTAGATTCTGGATCTGGGAGAACAGACAGATGCAATGCAGGGCAGGATTAGAGGTTAATAAGCACTGAGGGTAAAAGATGTCCAAAGCAAAGCAGCAGCTGGAAAAGGGTAAATAAAAGGTAGGTTGCTCCTCTAAAACAGCCAGGAAATATACCCTCAAGAAAGTGAAAACCACAGAAAAGGGTTTATATGAGCATGTTTTCAAAGCAATTCCAATTGCACCAATTTTAATACTTCAGAAAGGAGACTTAGGCCAATTAATATTTTTAGCAACCAACTAGCGTCTAAGTACAGCTACAAAACACAGAGAGATGAGCACGATGGTTAGAATGGTGTGTGTGTCTACAGATGAGGTTTGGATTATTTTAGACACTGAACTGCTTGTTCCGTGATGACTGATCTGAAATACACTGAAAAACAAACATGAATGTTTTGGAGTTCAAATCTGTCATTTCTAGATGTTAACTGTGTGAATGCCTGAAAACATTCTCTAAGCCTTCATCCTTACTGGTGCAAATCAGCTTGGAGAAAGTGAAGGCAACAGAACTTTTTTTTGTTTACTCCAACTAGGATCCTGCTTTTTCTCAAAGTCCACTCAGGAGTGAAGACACAACTTCCCCAGATTTCACCATGAGATGTGAGTAGCATTTTTGACTCAAAACATTCCATAAACAGACCAGAGGTATAAATGGACTGTCAGCTAGCTTCAGAGTGCACATGATGTTTCAAAACCCATCGAAGTCATTACGCAGCTCTTAAGAGATTGTGTCTACACATCTACAAGCACATGAGTACACTTCTTGCACCTACCAACTACAGCAGCACCACTCAGGAAAAAAGCTGCTTGCTTATAAATATTTCAGGATTAACTTTTTAGTCTCTTCTGCTGAAAATATTCTAAGCACATGTGCTGCATTAGTCAAGTGAGTATTTCCATTGAGACATGAGTAAAGCTATTCATATGCTTCATATCTCAGTTTCAGTAAGATACTTGAACACTTAACTTTACTAGGACACAACCTCAGTTGAAAATGGTATTAGAAATGGTTTTAAATATTCTGTTGAAGGTTTTCAGATTTGTCAGAAATTATTTGTGATTTTCATGTTTTGATTTTTAAAAATATAAAAGAAATATTAATGTAAAAATTAAATAGTTGTTTCTATTTTCACTGAAAAATTTCCCGGGAAATGGTGAAGAGTTATTTCACACGAAACTCTTTGTAGCGTATGCTTTGCTGAATCTTAGCCCAGATGTTCCTAGATGGTGCCTGTGATTCAGAGGAACTTTTCTATTCCAGTTGTCTCCTTTCTCTTATCATGTCTATTTTATTTTCTCTCTCTCTCTCTTTTTCTAAATGGTTAACTGGAATACTGCACTGGAGTAAAGTAAGTTTCAGGTGATTTTATATTTCAGGTTTAAATATCCTGTGCAGAACTATACTACTGTGAAGATTTCCTTGCCAGGTATCTTAAAATTCTCTTTCCCATTCCTCATCTTCACATTTCCTTATTTTAATATTTAGTCGCACAACATTTCTCTTTACTTTGTTGTTTCCCTATTTCTGCCTAGTAAATGTCACATTCACTGTATGTTTCCAGTGGAGCAGAAATTAGTGTGACTGGTTGAACTGCAATTCCCGTAATGTTTTATTATGCCAAAACATCAGGAAACCATATTAGCTCCTTAAAATCTCTGTGTCATTTTAACTGTAGATTGGCTACTGTAAAAAGACTGTAAATTCTGTATCTGCCAATGCACTTCCTTACCAATTTGCTCATAAAAGCACATATATTCAAGTACATCCTTATTCACACCTCCTAAAAGGCTGAAGAAAAATGAGAGGTTAAACTCTGCTCTCAGTGATAATTACAATGGAATGACTCCACATTTAGGCTGCTGTAACTGCCCTTATTAAAATACAAAGAAAATTTCACTTTATAATTATGGTGTTGGTCTACATTTACACATCATGCAGCTCTTAGAGATGCTGTGCCAACTCCAAGGAATATGAGCTTGGCTCTGCAAACAAGGACAGCTAACGCAGACCCAAAGGTGGGTGAGATGCAGAGTGCAACGAGTGTGGGCTTTCGTACACCGTGGTGCCAGTTCTGGTATGGCTGCCTTGGGGGTCTCTGCACTGATGGAGTGCAGGATGGTAAAGTTTCTTCTCCAGACATCAGCATTGCTTTGGTCAAAACACCAAGGCGCTTATATACAATGTTTTCTACCCCATCATATCCAGCCTGGGCAGACAGTTCAGCAATGCTTTGAGCATCCATGCTCCACTACCAGTTGACATCCATCAGGCAATCTTGTTTTCCCCCTAGTTAGTCTTGTTATTTTATTGTTTAAACCTTCCCTTTTATGTGTTATGGACATGAACAGACATAGTGGGTCTGAACCAAAGTATGCTCAGCTCAGTATGCCAACTCCTGCCACAGCCAGTAACAAGTCCTTAGACAAAGGGGTCAAGAGCAGGACAAGCTTATTGTAGTAACTTCCCTGTTACCTTCTCGCAGCTTCCGATCGGCCTTAACAGCCCGTCCGTATAGTGCTAACACGGCTTTACGTTGTCACTGCCTGCAGAAATGACCACCCTCTGCAAATCATCCAGCCTATTTGCCAACTGGTTTCCTCTAGGCCAGGACCAGATTAGTAACTGAACAGCACAACAAAGTGAAATGGGACATTGCGTAATGAAGGTGTTTCACAAGAATCTCAAGTCATCAGACTCAGCAAGTCTTTGAGCTGAGAGTGCTTACAGCTTAGGGGGTATGAATTCTTCTGGACTGTGCTTTGCTGTCTGAAACACTGAATACAATGCAAGACATTTCACATGACAAGAAAAATTCAGATAAAAGAGCAAAAGAGGCCCAACCCAAAATTGTAGATCCAAACTTGCCCCAATTACAGCATTATCCTGCATTTCTGAAATCTGTATTTTGTGATTGATTTCCCCAAGTCACAGGATCTGAAAAACACTCCCTTTTTTGTATTCAGAACATTGAACTGGTTTGTCTGTCTTGGATCTTACTACCAAGTGCAGCCTTAACCTTGCAGCCAGAATCTTATGGCTGCACTGGCTCTTGGTGTATTCTCATCTACTTTATAACATTGTAATTTAATGCTTCTGTATTTCTCTCTTTATTCTTTCATTTGCTTCTTCCTCCTTTGATGCTCACCCTGTCCATCACTGCACACTAACCCTTTGTCTCACAGAACAAATATCATTTATCAGAACAGGAGAAAAGCCATATAATAACAATAAAAAGTGTGATTACATTGTCTTTTCAGAAAGTGATTGTAAGTAGTCATTCAATTTAATTTCTATTCACATTTCTTTCTTTCCTCTAAAGTCTCTTCCTTGTACAGCCATCACAGCAACATGTGCTCTGTACTCATGGATATTAAGTGTCTTCTAAACATTTATGCACAAAGACTCAGAACATGCCATTTTCCAGTGTCATATAACATAATTAAGCAGAAATGGCAACAAACCTCAGATCTTCTGAATTCTGGTTCCCCAGTGTAACCACTAGCCCATGGCTGAGCAACATTTGAAAAAACAAAGAGGTCCAACCAATGAACAATTTAACACATGAAAATCTCATGTAGCACAACACAGAGATGATACTCTGCCCTTCAAGCCAGTAAATTGCTGAAAGAATTTAGGCTGGTGGTTTAAAACAAGTTCACACTTTGGTCCTTGAGAGAAACTGGAAATAAACATTATTTGCACTGTGCACCACTAAAAGATCCAACCAGTCAACTCAAAGGTTGCCTTGCCAACACTGCCGTGGGAGCAATTTTTGGTAACAGTGTCTTTGAGAAGAGGAGCCATACGTGTGTGTCAGACAGGAGTGCTTTGGTGAGATGTGGCAGCACTTTAGGAAATAGTGATGGATGGCACTGTGGGATGGAGAGAACATTGTGGGAGTGCAGGAGACAGATGGCCAGAGACCAAATGCTGTGGGGGGTGATTTTACCTTTGGGTGGAGCTCTGCGGTTGGAAAGACCTTGCAATGTGAATCGCTTTCTAGCAAGCGCTGTGCGCTCAAGGTTAAGGCTGGTGGAAGCATCAACTAGGAGAGAGGGAGAGGGAAGAGAAATAAGGAAGGAAGGGTCAGCTGTTCAGCTTATGGGAAAGGAAAGGTTAGCACTGAATGACAACTAAAAATAAATAAATAAATTTTGATTCAGTTCAAGCCAGAGCAAGAGCTAATCAATTAGAAAGGTGACATGAGGTCAGGGTGATTAAATCAGCTGAGCCAAACAAAGCCCCTGGGTTGAGTTTGGCTCTCTGAGTTTAATGGAGAAGAACAACAACAAAACAAAACCAAAGAAAAACAGGTGAAGGGATGTAGCTATCATCAAAAGAAAATACAGTTTAGCAGCAAGCTCATTAGGATCTAGTGCCTTTTACTATGAAAACATACCATTGTGGTTGGAGCAGCAAGGTTGTTGGGAGAAATAAGAGAATAAGCCTTGCAGTGCAGGACATGTACAGACAGCAAGTGCTGCGAGCAGTCCCACTTCTGCTATCCAGTACTAGGACCGCAGGGTCTGCCGTCATCAGCCCGGTGGCCGATATGCTCTCAGCCTTACCTGCTGAAGTGTTTCTAACAGCCTCCGAAGCTGGCATATAGTCATGCATTTGATCTCGTGATTTGCTGGGATGTAAGGAGTGCCATGCCAGCAAAGCTTACATGCCAGGCTCCTACATGAATAAGCCAGCCATGCCGCCTGTCAGTCACCTTTATAGAGGTAAGTCACAGATGGATCTAGGCCCTGAGACTCTGGGTTTGAAAGATACTCAGCTACTCACATTGCAGGAAACAGGTAGACCTAGATCAAACCCTCAGATCCATATATTCCTGCCGAATTCTGCATCTGTCCCTTTCTTTGGGTGGGCAGGGAACACACAGAAGGTTTAGGGCAAAGGAGCAGGAGAAAAGCCTGGTTCTGTGCCTTAGGATTTATCCAATAACTTTTTCCTCCTCTTTATTTCATATACAGCCAAGTGAAAATCATTAGAGGGGCAAATGAAGACCAGAAGTACAAAGGGAGGATGAAGAGACAGTGAGTCCACACTGACGGACAAGCAACAGACAGACAAGCTGTGCTTCCAAAGGAAAGCGCATCCCATCACTTCCTGACTTGCAGCCAAGATAATCCAGGATCCGAGGTGCCTGCCCGCATAGGTGGGTGTGAGATGAACAGATTTTAACAATACAGAAGTATTATGTCAGTGTGGTTCAGCTCCTTCTAGCTGGTGGCCTGATGCCAGCTTTGGGCCAGGCAGGTGCATCTGGGGAGGAACTGCTCCCGAGCAGCTGTTTCAGCTGTGGGGCTGCCCACAGGTGCACTGGGAAGCATTTGGCTTTCAGACTGCCCATGTTGGCCTAAGAGCCATTCCCTGCCATGCCTGCTCCCACTGTGAGGCAATCTTTGTAAACATACTGTAGCTTATAAAGAATCCAGAAACTGGTCTATAAAATATGTTTACTTTCTGTTTGCATAGAGCAAGAAAATCCATAGTATTTCATTATCACAGGGTCATGCAGCAAGTACAACAGTGCATGTGTGTAGGGGGTGGGTTTATATGTTAATTCTTCAGCTATGCAATTACATCACTTCACTGAGGGGTCCTTTAGGATTTCACAAGTCCCCACAGCTTCTCAGCACCAGCCAGTCCTTAGACACTGATCTCTAAAGACATGTTGTGTCCACCTGAGTTATTTCAACCCTTTTTCTTCATTCTGCAGGTATACCAAATAACCCTGGAAACCATTTCCAAACATAATAAGGCCAAGGTCCTGATGGGCAACAGGTTGAACGTGAGCCTGCAATGTGTACTTGCGGCAAAGAAGGCCAACAGCATGCTGGGCGGCATTAGGCAGAACCTTGCCAGCAGGTCTGGGGAGGTGATGCTTCCCCTTTACTCAGCACAGGTGAGACACACCTGGGATGCTGTGTCCTGTCCTGGGGTCCCCAGTACAAGAGAGACATGGACATACTTGAGTTGATCCAGTGAAAGGCCATGAAGATGATTAAGGCATTGGGGTAGCTGACATGAGGAGAGAGTGAGGGAGCTGTGACTGTTGAGCCTGGAGAAGAAAAGGCTCAGGGAGATCTTATCAAGTAAAGAAGACGGAGCCAGATGCTTCTCAGTGGAGTCTAGTGGCAGGATGAGAGAGGCAACGGGCACAAATTGAAACACAGGAAATCCCATTTAAAAAATCTGAGAACAACTTTTCATTGTGAAGGTGGTTAAAGCCTGGGACAGTATCCCCAAGGCAGCTGTGGAGTCGCCATCCTTGGAGCTATTCAAAACCTGACTGGACACAGCCTTGAGCAACTTGCTCCAGCTGACCCTGCTTTCAGCAGGGCAGTTAGACTTGGTGGTCTTCAGAGGTTCCTGCAGGACTCGGCTCCCATATAGCTTTGTCAGTGCACCTACCAGTCGGGTCCACACAAAACACTGGTCTATATGTAGATAACTCAATCACAGGCACTTACCCATAAGCATAATGAATCTGAAGCTTGCCAATAGTGCCCTCCCCCTCTGTACTACGGAAAGAAAACAGTATTTTAAAACCATCTGTGTTCACGTTAACTACATAGCTAGCGGGAGCAGGGCAGTCAGCAGGTGGCACAAAAGGGCCGGTTTCGGCACAGCACCATCCTGCCCGCTGCCCGCCTCCTGCAGACCGGCACAGCCATGCCCTCCCCGGGGGGGCACAGCACCGTTCCTCGGCACCTTCGAAAGCAGGACCCAACTGCGCGGTTTTAAGACGGGTAGAGCCCCTGCAGAGTCCCAGCTAGGGGGACCTCACAGGGACACGAAGTTTCGGTGGGACATCTAGAGCCGGACGGCCCTTCTGCAGGGCGTGTTTTGCAGGCCAGGGTGCCGGGGCACAGCCCGGCTCCCCCGGAGGAGTGACTCGCTGCCCGGCTCAGCTCGGCTCGGCAGGAGCAGCCGCGGCGGAGAGGATGAGGGGGCTCTCGGCGGAGGTAGCAGAAATTACAGCCAGAGCCCTGAGGAACTGGTCGTGGGAAAGCAGAAGACAGAAGAATGAAGATCAGCCTGTAGGGTGATCCCAGTTCCCACACTCTCGTGTAAGCTGGACCAGTTGAAAAAACATCAATAATTTTCCTGGGAATTTTTGTAAAAGGGCGCTTATGAATTTCAAATGAAAGGCTGCTATTCAACTTTTTTAATTTTTAAAAAGTTCATGTTTTTAAAAAAGAAATTTTCACTGAAACAAGTTTATAACATTGGATTTTTTTAAAGAAGAATCCATAACTTTCTCCCCAGAATGAAAACTTATTGCGATGAGAAATCTTTTGGTGAACAGCCTATTTTTCAAAGAAAAAATATTCCACTTTTTTTTTTTTTTACCATCTCTATTTGTAAAGGGGCCCGCTGTTACTTTAAGCCTGATTTGGATATTAATCTCCCAAGACCTCACAATTTTCTTTTTTATATTATTAGAAAAGTCTTTGCTCTAACATTTCAAAATACTGCCTGAAAAAGAAACTGCTGTTGAAAGATTTTCTGTTCCTGCTACTGCCAGATGAGATCCAGTTTCTTTGTAGTGTTCCTTTTAACCTACATTATATAGAATTTATCTATTGTATTTATGCCTTCAAATAATGGAGTGAGTTTCTGTGACCGCATGTGCATTTATTTACTATACGCTAGAGAGGAACCTATACACAGAGGAGGTAAAAAAAACTCTGATGTAAAGCAAGGAAATTAGTTAGCAAAGTCCATAGACAATCTTAAAATTAAATATGCCTAGAAACCAACTTAGCCAGGATATAGAAGGTTAAAATACACATACTATTGCCCCCCAAATTCTATTTTTAAAAAATAACAAATTGTATAAAGAGCGCTGTAATGCATCAAAAGTCAGACTTAAAAAATCCTAAACTGGTAACGCTTTTTGGTGTTGAGGAAGTTTCACGGTACACTCACTCAGCTTTGTAGCACTGTTTTTTCGCTGTTGGGTTTAAACAACATACATTTAAAGTATCTTCATCAAACTCCAGAAATGAGTGTGCAAAAATAAAAATACTACCCTTTGGAAGCAAAAAGCTCTGTCTCAGACCTCTTACCTCTCTTTTGTCTGGCGCTGGGACTGGAATTCCTGTTTTTGTTGTTAGATGCTTCCACGTTTGATGTCTCAGATTTGTTTTCATATATACTTGATGACTTTCTGCTATACCTTTGGACAAAAAGAATAAAAAAATAGTTACATTCCGGCTTAATACCTAACAGAGCACTAAGCATTAAGCATTCTTTTTTACCCTCAGATATGGAAGCCTAAGGAATAAACGGCAGGTTTTAAAACTCTGTGTGCTATAAAAGTCTGCACTTGTGCAGGCATGTATGGTGGAAAAAGCCATTCTAGCCCCTGCCTCTTTTTCACACCACACAGTAAGGGATGTGCTTAGTGAGAGCTGAGAAGGAAAAATGAAGGAAGAAGCTAGCTGTCTGCACAAGCTCTTTTTTCAAGTCCAACAGATTTGGAAGGAAAGAATGGGAAATCAGGTTAGAAAAGAGGACCCCAGTTTTCCATCCTTTGCAGCATATTTGTCTCCAGGAGAGAAACGGGTACTGGATGGTCACATAGAGGTCATACCATGCATGGAGGAATATACGGATTCCTCCGGCTCCAGGATCCCCCAGCTTCTCTTTCTTCTACTCTTTGAAAACATGAATCCAAGTGGGATATCCCTGTCTACATCTGAACCGTAGATGAGGGGATCCATCTTGCCAGATTTGCACAGGTACCAGCCTTGCCATCTGTAATGTGAACAACACCCCTGCCCCAGGTTTGTAGGGCATCACAGCTGCAAGGTTTTCTCATGGTTCTTAACCTCATTGTTTTGCAAATGTCTGGTGGTTTAGTTTGAGTGTTTGACTGTTATCTTTGGCAGACTGCGCCACACATTTCATTTTATCTACACACTTGAAATACTCTTTTCCAAAATGTTCCTTATTAACATGTATCAGCAATTACATTGCCATTTACAATTAACATATGAACTGTTATACTTAACATTCCTAGGGTTTGTCTTGCTGTAAGGGAAGGTCCACGATATCATTAAAAATTTTAAAACATTTGGAATACTAGAGATTTGTGAATACTTTTTCTAACTACAAGGCAGCCTGGGACTCATTGCTTTGCATTTGAACCTCTGACCTTTTTCTGATGGAACCTTAAAAGAGGTCTCTGTTACCTCCTGTACTAAATCAAAATGTGATTCTGCAGCCTGATGTCAGGTACAAAATGGGACTCAAAATAAACATGCTAATGAATCCAAAGCACACTCACATTTCCTTATTCTTTTTTTCTCTGTTCCTTCCCAGCTAGGCTGAGATAACTGTGAACCATGCAGCTGACAGAGTTAAAGATTTACAGCTGTGAGAAAGACACCAAGAAAACACAGGAGCTTCTCTGAAACAGTATCTGCAGTAAAACTCCAAGTGTTTGTTTGGATCTATGTGCACGGGATATTTTTACATGGATGTATGACTGAATCGGTCATTTCCAATAAAGCAGATAGTTAAGCAGTTAGAACAATAGTCTATTTAAGTTTCATATGTTTAAATAGATTAGAAAACAATACAAAAGGATCATCTCATTGTCACTGAAATGCAGCAGCTATCCCTTGAGGGAGATACAGCAGCAATAGATACCACAGTGCATCTCATTTTAGGATTAAACAGTGAAACTTTGGGGAAGAATTTACAGAGCAAGAATTTAAATAGATTGAACAGGACTTGGGGATATTGAATAACCGCTTGTATTAAGGGCACTGGCTCTAAGTGTCCCTTTTGCTGACACCTCAGCTCCCATCCCTAGTCAGCCCAGCCCTGCCTTATCTCATGGAATTGCAGCCCCAAGTGCTGTGTTGGCATGTAAACAAGTAAAGGGGACAGTCTTTGTCATTGAACAGACATGGCTTGGGGAGGGGAGAGCGTCCTGCAAACAGATTTCCCCAATGTCACAGTACAGGTTTGATAATTCCCAGTAAACAGTGGAGTCACTGTTACACATGGGCAACCCAGGAGAGGGTATCTATTGCTTAGATAAAATCTCTATAATTAATTAGCCTCCAAACACTGGCAGAGCACTGATGATGCTGGTTGCTCTTTAGCTAATATTGTCTACCACTGGCTTACTTCTAGCACCTTTCACAACTGGGGCTGCTTAGTCATGACAGTTATAAGCACAGACTATGCCTGTCTGGGTGGCTATCACAAAGTCTAGCTTCTTCCTTCCTCTCCTTGCCTCCACCCAGCATCCCAAAACAGGCTGCAGGAGGGGCTCCACAGTCTGAGGAATTCTGGATCCACCATTTCACATCAGCTAGTGCAAAGCCACCTTGTGCCCCTGTCCTTGCTTCTCTTTGAGGCACATATTACAGAGGATCAAGGTGGCCTCTGCTTACGATAGTCAATAGGACATTCTGAACTTTGTTCCATTCATGAAAGCCTAGAGTGTTGTTCTTTCATGAAGACTTACCATATTCTTCCTGTCCCTATAATAACCCAGCATTTGGAGCAGAAGCATCTAACCTCTCCGTCTCTGGCATAGCTGGCAGAGTTAGGACAGCAAGCACTTGACTTTTCCTTTGGTTTAATCCACTCTAGGACAAATAGCTAATCACATGGCCTCTCTTCCTGGAGTTAACTAATTTTCTCTTGACATATTTTGTCTATAATTTCTGCTCTGAAAATTCTTATTTTAAGAGCCTTATAAGAGGGACATCTGGATTGATTTGAAACATATTTGTGATTGCATTTCATATTTTACTGGAAAAATTTTCTCCTATCCCCACGGTGGTTTTGCTGAAAGATTTTCACCCTTAAACCTTTTCAGCTTAAACCTTAAACAAAGCAAATGTAACCAAGTCTAGAGAAAATATGGTGCAGGATTAACAGCACTGCATCTGTTTAAAATGTCTTGCGTGGAGTTGTACAACTTTCAAAGGCTGGCTGTGTTACCTGGGCTCTCGTGGTTTGGTTGATCCTGCTAAAATTTTACAGTGATATCCCATGCCAGCTTACATTAAATTTGCCCAGCAATTGGGTCATTACAAAAATTTGCTGACAGCTCCATTTAACATCTTGGAAATGTTCCAATACGTTTTGTCTAAACTTGAGTTAATCCAGAGCATAGGGTTCTTTTGCAAAACCAAATGATCATCCTTGAAATGAATTCTGCATTATGATTTTAGTTTCCCCATGAAGCAAAACCTTTATCTACAATTATATGTCTTTAAAGAATTTGAAGACAATTGAGGAAGTTTGTACTCAGGAAGCTGAGCACAGAAAACTAAGAATTCATGTACTGCAAAAAGCACAAAGACAACACAAAACATGGCCCTGATATGCCATGATAGCTGTGGTTACCTGCTTGCATTGGAGGATTCCATTGGTGCATGGTACACACTCTCGGTGATTCTTTGATGCAGTTGACTTGCTTCTGTTTAAGAAAAAGTAAAAAGAAATTGCTTCAAATTGTATAAATTGCTTCCTTGTTGGTATAGAAGGCTGGGAAGAGAGGGAGAGGAGAGGAGAGATTTTGACTGCTGCTGCAATCAAAATTGAATATTTGAAGAGAAAGGCATGGCGATCTTAAACGCTGAAAACTTAGCTCACCCAAACAGCTCTTCTATCCATATTTTTTTAGTGCAGAAGACATTTCTTCCCCTACCACCTTATCTTTCCTCTGTAGCTCTTCCTAGCTCACTGCACAATATGATCTAGAGAATGGACATACTGGAGTTTTTTCCAGAATACAATACAAGTTTTGTGGCTCACAGCTTTTTCTGGATTTAGCAACACATGTATATCAGTCCTGCTGCACATGCAGCCATCTAGTAGAATATATCCCTATCCCTCTGAAGAATGCTTTTGCTCAGCATCCTGGACAAACAGCAATAATAAAATGTTATTCAGATGCCACTTGTTCACTCTTTTTGCATAGCTGCAAGGTAGCAGTAGACTCATTTGTAACTGCTGAGTGGAGAAAGATCATAGAATTATTATGGTTGGAAGAGACCTCAAAGATCATCAAGTCCAACCGTATGATGATGATAAGAAAGATGCTGACAACCTGGCTTTCAGGGCCAGGAGAGTCAGACACCAAGAAGTGAGGAAGCAATGGAAGAAGCTGCTTTCAAACTCTCAGACTGCTGAGATCCTATGGCTATTTCACTCTGGAAGAGATGAAGCTCCCGTCAAAGAAAGGAGAACAGACAAATGGACAGGGGTGGCACTGAAAGATTAAACTTAACAAAGTCTTTTGTGGGTGGGAATGCTGGGAGAAAGGCACACTCTGGGTGGGGAGTTGGAAGTAGCTCCATTCCTGGTTTTGGCAACAGCCTTGCACAAATCCCTTAAACTGCATCTGTAATTCCTTTGCCTGCAAGAGACAATTATGCTCTTTGGGACTGACAGACTAAGGTGTTCCCCAAAGCCTTGTTAGCATTCCATGCTCACTGCAGTGTGTGATAGGAGGTGTATATACACTAAGTGTTTGGACACTAATGACCCATATGTTAAACTATTTACGACTTACCTGTGGCCACCTTCTTTGCCTTTTACTCATTCATCTCAGCTGGTTCCTTCCAACATTCCAACCCCCTGTGCAACTCCTAACAACAGTCATTAAAAACAGCCCAGACAAACAAATGTATCCCTCTTTCTTCTCTCATTAAGCATGAATTAAGGCCTCTTCTTTCATGAGTCATTTGAAATAGAAACAACTGTTTAAAACCACAGGACAAAGCATTTGCTTCCTGCCATCAGTATTGTAATAAGGGCTTTGATTCACATGATCATTTGGGAAAAGGCAATGGGAAGAGTTGCAATAGCATGTAAGATACAATTTCTGCCCTCTGACTGCTGTTCTGCGGGATTCACAATGAAGGAAAGCTTGACTTTACTCATAGAATAGGATGAAAATCATCCTTGGATGTTCTCAAGACCAGACTGGATAAAGTCTTGAGTAACCTAGATTGCCCAATAACTGACTCTGCTTTGAGGAGGACATTGGACTGTGATGTCCTGAGGTCCCTTGAAACCTGAAATATTCTAGGAACCTATGACCCTAAGACAAAACAATAAAGAATATAAAAATGTAAATATTTTCGAAAACTTTCAGTCTTGATTCCTGCATAGTTTTCTCTGGAAAATGCATAATAACTCTAGCATGTAGGTCTTGTATGCTACAAAGATTTCACAAATGCTCATCTGGGTGAAATACAAGTTTCATTTTCTTTGCCTAGAAACATACACAGAGGATTAGTACTCTATCCTATTAAACACATACATTTTCTCTATAAGCTACTTGTCTCTTCTATAGTAGCCTAAGTAAAGCCAGCTTTTAGACTTCAGAAGTAAATATTACAAACCATATCAGAAATTCCCTAGATCAAGTCCAGTGAAATTTAGAATAAAAGGAGAAAGGACGCAGACAAGAATAGTAACAAAAGATCTGACTAGTAAGTGTCATAAATAAGTATATTGTTATGTGCTGGATTAAATTATGGAGGCTAATGTACATAGTCATTTCCCTCCACCTAAGGAGATTGTAAGAACTCATTGTCTTTGTGAAATAGACAATTAAAATAAAGGTGACCTCTAAAGTTAAAGCACAGGCATAGGATTCCACCTAGGGCAAAGTCTGTTTAGGAATCTGAAGGATATGGGTGGAGAGGCTTTGCTGGCATTGCTTTAAAGAGAGGTGTGTGTATGAGAGAAGCAGAAAATGACAGGTCAAGGTGAGAAGCAATGCCACGGTCCAGGAAAAGTCTGTATTGGACACAGCTATGTTTTTTTTTTGTCCTAAGAGAGCCTGAAAATGGCTTTTAGGACTCAGTACATGCTTGTTCATAAGAAGAATAGTATCTCAGATAGCTAAAATGACAGGTCAAGGTGAGAAGCAATGCCACGGTCCAGGAAAAGTCTGTATTGGACACAGCTATGGTTTTTTTTTTGTCCTAAGAGAGCCTGAAAATGGCTTTTAGGACTCAGTACATTCTTGTTCATAAGAATAGTATCTCAGATAGTAAGAGAACATAGTGATGAAAGCTATCTGGAATAACCTAACTGAATTTTGTCTGTCTTAGGTTCAATATCTTACATAAAAAAGGGTGTCCTTATTTTAGGTACTTATGAGGCTTCAGTCATTCATGTATTGAGCACATCACAAATATCCTTCATAGTGACATCTCTGTGAGAGAGGGAAATGTCATTAATCATGTTTTACAGGGAGGTCACTAAGATAAAAAGATGGGATAACTGACTGACATTTAAAACATAAGGCAGGCAACTAGATTTAAAATAAAAACCCTCAAAAGCCCAACAAAGCAAAACAAACAATAGGACGGAGAGGAACAGCTGCTGTGTCTGGTCATGTATGTGGAAGAAGATCTTTTGTGTCATGTCTTGTGAGAAGGCACAGAGCAAAGACTGGGACCCCATCTCCTCACATGCTGATGTAAATGGATGTTTCTAGGGTTGCGGCTTGAGACGGACAACAGAGGAAAATCATGTTCCTCAGACTAACTGTGAATGGAATAACTATTCATGCCATTTCTAGAGTTCTAAGAAATTTTCTTTGATCAGGATAAGGGTTTAAATCCCAGCAATGCTACAACCACCTAGCTGATCCTCTCACAGAAGATCTGTTCTTGCTGATTTCACTGGTGGTAGTGGATGGCACTGTAACTCATCCCAGCTCCATGTTGTCACACATAGCTACGGAAGGAAGGCAACATTACCAGATCTCGCTCTGTATGTCCTACCTCTACACGCTTCTAGTTGTCCTGTCAGGACTTTGCGAATCTCCGAAATCCAGGTGTTTTTCAGCTCAACAGAAGATGCCTGAGAACACAAGAGGAAAAAGCAAAGCAGATCTAGTTAAAGCATGCTGCCAATCACGTAGCTGCCCTGACCTACATTTGCTCTCAATTTTCCCAAGGAATGGAACACTGTGGCCAGCTTTCAGCAAAGCAGAGGATGCTTTTCAAGGTGGAAAATTTGCCATAAATCTAAGGTCCTGTCCTTGCTTTTCTGTCTAGCTTTCCAAGTAATTCTCCACTACTGTGTTTCCTCTTTTACCCAAAATCATGACCATTTTCACAATGATAAACTGGTAATTTCAGTGCCAACACAACAATAAAGCTTCCAATGGCTATTATTTCTTGAGCGTACAGGACAGTAAAAGTCATGAAACTGAAAACTTTCTTAAAAATAATCCAATTGAAAGGAAGTATAGTCCTTGGAAAGAAAGGATTGTTGTTACCTGAATGATATAGACCTCTTCTCTGCCATTATACCAGATCTCAAACTTCTTGTTGTCCCCTTTTACATTTTCTGTAATGCCCACAGTGCTCATCTGTTTCAAAATAGAAAAGAAGCAGCTGGAATCCGGAAAATGTCAATAGTCTTTAAACTCTTTATCCTCTGAGAAGCATTTTTAAAAGGCTGCATTCACTTCTGCACCTTAGGGAGTCATTAAAAGTAAAATTCAGAACATGTTATTTCTTAACATCTAGTTTATCATTTATCTTTTTGACTGTTACAGGAAAAATAAAAAAAATTAAGTGCTCAAAAATAACACAAGCTAATATCTGAGCATGAGTTTATCCTCTTTGCTTTTTGTGCTTAAACTGCGAGTTGGTTTTCAACCCTATCCTGGCTCTTGTCCACCTATACAAATTTTCAGTTTGAGGAAGATGATATTTTCGACTTCGCATCACTGACCTGTTGAGATGGGAGAGGAAGAGGAATGGAACAGGGCTTTGAGAGATTTAATGACTCATCTGCAAATCCAGACAACACAAAAAATTTGATATAGTTTCAGGAAAATTAAAAAGAGAGGTGAGCAAGGAGCTAAGTGCCTAACCAGGCAAGACGAACAAGGAACTGAAGAAAATAATTCTAAATTTCTTAAATGATAGATTCTTCAATTTTGAAGTCCAGCTGCTACTATACTTACCAGCTTCCCATCTTCTTCCTGTATTTGTTCGTCCCCCTTGTTCTGATTTGCCTCAGAATTAGATTTAAAGATTTAAAGAGCTTTGATTATGTTTTTTTCTGCTGTCTCCACAGAAAGAAACTTCAAACACTTATATGAATTGTCTCACTCCTTGAACCAGGTTCTATTACAATTCCTGTCTGGTTATCCTGTAACAATTTTGCAGCACTACACTTGATGACCCATGTTGGTTGTCTGAAGTCACAAGTGTCACACCAATGTGCTTAAAAGGAAAATGTGGCCTACTTGTGAATTTCATCTTAACAGAAAATGTCCTGACTCATATCTGGAAATGTCACTCTTACAAATAAAAGGGCACTTCTACTGCACTGTGATTTGTCTGTAGCTATTATTGTCACAGAATATATCTGCTTAACTGATGTCAATAGTAAAACTCGCAACAGAACTGAGCTTGGAGGATGCTTATAGGCAGAACAATGAGAGATGCAGGTCCATTCAATCCTGCTTCTCTTCATGGGACACTGGACAAGAACACACAAGGTGCCTGTTTGTATCAAGTTGCAAAATCAAGGTTCTAATCTGGAGTTGCAGGACATATAGCTGGGTCTATGTCCAGATCAAAACTAAAGGGGAGCTTTCACTTACTTAGGGGTGCAAGATAGCCCCAGATATGTGTACCAAGTCTCTACGTGAAAACATCCCCATGTTGTGAGAATGTCAGATTTGTTTCTCTCCCCCACCATTACCACCTTTATTACCTTTAATGAATTTTTAAAGCTGTATGAAGCTGTCTTCTCATGGCCATCTGTGTTCTCCTCCCGTTTCTTGCAGAAAAGTAGCATCTTTGTATAGAGGAAGAGGTGTCTCTGCATTGGTTTAAATCTAGCCAAGTCCTTCACCTTGTTGTGCCCCTTCTTGTGGTCAGTCCAAACATTGAAGGAACCTTGCATCAACAGCTTGCCAAGCTCACTGACATCGCCCTAGCAAGCAAGGAAAAGAGAGAGCCTTCGTCACGTTCAGACTAGGGTAATCCCAGGCACAGTTCTTTCCTCTGGTGGAGTTCAAGCTTCCAGGCATAGGCACGTGCCCAGGCACCCCTTGTGTTGGAGAGTGGACATGTTGCAGCTGGAATCCCATCTGCACATGTCTCCTTGCTAAACCTTTGTGGTTTCTTTATATAACCATTAACCCATTGTTTCCCATGTCCGTAATTCCCAGTTTGCCTCCCCATTCACAGTTAGTATCTAAGGTCTGTCTCAGGACCTCTTTGGATCTGACACAGAGGCCGTCCCCTCTGATGACCTCAGAGGAAGCATCTTCTGACAAGAACTGGGTTTCAAGACTCTTGACTCCAAGGCAGTATGAAGGCCCAGTGCAGCCCAGACATCTAAGCAAAGGCCTTGGCTCTGAAATATCTAGGTTCAATTTCTGCTCTGCTACAGGCTGCTTCTATCCCTGCACAAAACCTTGAAAGACGCTTAGATAGCTGAAGATGCAGATTGGTGCCTAGAGGTATGTAGGTATGTAATTCCTTCCCATCGGAAAATAGTCTTTAAAAGCTTTGTCAATAGTTTCTTGGCTCACCATCTGCAAACTATGCAATGCTCCACAGTCTTGGGCAAAGGGGGAGTAAATGCACCAAGGAGCCATAAAAGTACCTGAGGGAGAGTGAAACTAAGCAAGAATGAGACCTTTCAAAGTTAAAACCCTTGTCTGATGACCACTGATAGGTAAAAGCTTCAACCAATATAAATACTTGGCTCAGATGCCACTAGCACAAACATTTATAGCACAGTTCAATACTAAAGAATATAGCAATGCATGGATAGAGGACATGGCAACATCTGTATGGTAATGGTTTCAACAAATACTGATAAACATAACTATCCTAGCAGCAAGCTTTTCTAGGAGTGCTTTATATAATAAGTTGAAAGAATAAGCTCAGTGCATTATTAAAGTACTTATTTTCAACATTTGTATATTCTGTTGATTATAAGGCGAAGCTGTTGGCTCTGAGTGCGAATGTCTGATTTCTTAAACTACAGATTGCAATCTGTTCTACCCTCTCACTGCCCATCCTCTACCCTAGAGCCAACTGCAAAACCAGGGTTTGATTAGGTACTTTTCCACTTCATATCAGAGTATTATTAGACTTTCCAAAGCTTTCAGAAAAGCTCAGTAATTTTTAACAGTCTCTCATCTCTAATATAAAGAGTTGAACTTTTATTTGTGCATACAGGACTCTGTCTATTTATATGTGCGTGCAGGTATAAATTGCAAGCCTGTGAAAAGATGATAAGATGTAAAGCTGGATTAAAAAAAAAAACCAAAACACAAGCATATTTTCTACATAGTTCTGACAATGGTGAGAGGCTCCTGGCACTGTTTGATACGACACTGAGATCCAGAAACTCAGTTCAACTCTTGTGACAGGTCCGTCTCTTCAATCTTGGATCTAGGATTGGGATTATAGCAAGTAAAGTGGGAAGCTACCACTACAGAGAGAACGAGGATGGACAGGGATGGCAGTCTGCCGCAATCTGTGCTGGTTTTGGCTGGGATAGCGTTAATTTTCTTCATAGTACCTATGGGCTATGTTTTGGATTTTTGCTGGGAACTGTGTTGATATCACCAGGATGATTTAGTTATTGCTGAGCAGGGCTTACACAGAGTCAAGGCCTTTTCTGCTCCTCATCCCACCCCTCCCGCGAGTAGGCTGAGGGTGCACAAGAAGTTGGGAGGGGACACAGCTGGGACAGGGATATACCATATGATGTCATGCTCAGCATATAAAGCAAGGGGAGGAAGAAGGAAGGGGAGGGCATTCAGAGCGATGGCATTTGTCTTCCCAAGTAACCGTTACATGTGATGGAGCCCTACTTTCCTGGAGATGGCTGAACACCTGCCTGGTGATGGGGAATAGTGAATGAATTCCTTGTTTTGCTTTGCTTACACGCGCAGCTTTTGCTTTACTTAAATGCCAGGTTGGATGGGGCTTTGAGCAACCTGGTCTAGTGGAAGGCATCCCTGCCCATGGCAGGGGGGGTGGGAATAGGGGGCCCTTAAAGAGCCCCGCAGGAACTAGATGACCTTTAAGGTCCCTGCCAACCAAACCATTCTATGATTCTGTGTTTCTAAACTGTCTTTATCTCAACCCACAAGTTTTCTCACTTTTACTCTTCCAATTCTCTTCCCCATCCCACGAGGAGGGAGTGAGCAAGCAGCTGTGTGGTACTTAGTTGCTGGCTGGGTTTAAACCACAACATAATCCCACAAAAGACTTTGAATACTCGCCTACAAGCATTGCACTCTCTCTTCAGTATGGGCAGCAAACACAGAGGAGGACACTATTTCTGCTAACTTCTGCTAGTGGACACCAGTATTTGTCCTAAAGGAGGTTTATTTAAAATGGAGGATTTGATCACTATCTCAAGTATAATTATTCCCTGCTAGAACAATAGATTGTATCTTCTGTTTATGGAAGATGAGAGATACATATGAATGGCTTAAGCACTGCATAATTCATGGACAAACTACCCAGGCCAGATCATACACAAATGTTAGGAAGATGGTAGGAAACATCTCTCAAACTTCTGCTCTCCAAGCTTTACTCTACTTTTTTTGTGGCTTTGCCTAAAAATAAAAAAGAATAAAACCAACCCCAGACTTACATGTTAGCATTTTTTAACATAGGAGTTCAGGTCCTCAAGTCTGCATGTGCACAGGTCCAAGAAGCAGAATATCCTGTGCAATTAGGAGCATTCATTAGCTGCCAGAAAACCTGCTTTTCTGCTGGCATAATAACCTTCTCTGAAAGGTGTTCTAGGTAAGTATTTCTTTTTGGAAAGAGTCCACAAGATGGGGTGCGGTTTCATGAGCTATGGGAGGTGTTTATTTGGCATCACAGATGAGCACCTGGGACAGATGGAACGGGGAGAAAAAATTATTGGGTTCATCCTCTTTCACACTTTAACCTCATTTAATAATCATGTAACAAACCATCTCAGGAATGCTGTCAGCATCAGACTACACAGCAGCCATGTTCCACTGCGTCATGTCTTTCAGTTCAGCTAAAAAGCAGAGGCAAAAATCTAGCCCTTGGAGCTACTATCTGGCACTTCATGGAAGGTTGGCAAATTCAAAAGTAGAAGCTGCAAAGAACAGGAATGGTCTGTTGAACTGAGTAAAAAAAAACTACACTGAGATTTGAAAGTAAGGAATAAGCAAAAGGATGACCTCAACACTTACATGGATAGGAATCTGGACAGATCCCCTCTGCTCAGGACAATATGTTACCTTTCTTGGAGAAGCTCTTCTGCCCATCCCTTACAGAACTGTTTAAAAACAAAATTTTGTAAAATTGCTGTAACTACATATATTTAAACTGGGAAACACAGGAGGAAAGCTACCTTCTTCTTTGGGGATGAATCAGAAACAATGGAAACTGGGGAAGTAAAAGACGTGCTCTATCCCTGAGCTTCCCATGCCCATGTTGACTGGTCTAAATCCGCAACAATAATACCCAGGCTTTGAAGAGTCTTTCTAAAATGAATCTGAGGCACTCAGAATTAGCCATAACCACAATGGTTTAGAGAATCTTTTACAAGCTATTTCTCCTGGCACCTAGAAGACTGTAAAAGACTCACTACTGCAACCAGATGGACTCAAAAAAAAAAAACAAACAAACAAAAACCCACAGCATGAAAAGTCCTATCTTTCCTGCAAGTACAAATGAAGACTTGATTGTTTCAAAAGAGAAACTGTTGAACAAGGTACTATGCTCAGCAATGTGCAAGTTATCAGTTTGTGCAGCAGTTGCTGGAAAGCCCAGGAGCTAACAGGCTGTCACTGAAATCAGCGATTCAAGAACTGACATCAAGCAAAACCACCCTGAGTACTGAGAACAGTGGCACCAGGAAAGCCACCTGTCCCTAGAAAGTCTGGAGAAAGCTGAAAACAGCAGAGATGTAGCTTGATGTTCATTTATACTGCTCCAGGAAAACTTTTCACAAAACAAAAAGTGCTAGAAGAGAAAGTTTGCCCCCTGTAATGGAAAAGCGAACACAAGCTTTGCCACTGGCTTTAAATAAAGCAAAACAGCTTCCCAAGAAAAGGAAAGCTAAAAGGATGACTACTAAAGTGAACCAGTTTTGGTTTTTTTTCCTTCTCAGGAAATACAAATAGGAATAAAACATACAGAATTAAAATTATTTTACCATTCAGCTTTAGAGATTTCAAGGGTTTTTATCAGTAGTGATTTAAATGTATTTGGACAAATCCTCATCTGTAGTGAGTCACTTCAGGCTGTTGGCTTGTGTCTCTAAATTTTAAATAAAATATATAGCTGACAATACTTATTAACATCTACTTAAAATGAAATATTTTATACTGATGTAAGACCAGTGTTTTCTTTTGTGTTACTGAAATCAAGGTTTGTTCAGTGAAGATTCAAAAATACCTAGCATTTCTGCTCCATCAGAAGAGATGTTACTAAAGAATTCTTTAAGAACTTTCAAAGACAGAAACAGTCAGATGCTGGATTTGGCCTTGTATGTTGGAGAAATTAAAAAGCTAATGAACTATTTCTGTTCAGCCAACAAATCTGAATATAGTAGGCTTCTCCTACCTTGAGAAAACTTGGAAAAACTGAAAATTGGATGGAAATCATATCAAAAAGATACTGCTAATCTAAACTAAGCAGGAAAACTTCACGCTATATTCTTAATCTAAACCCAGTTCGTGGTGCAAAGAGGTACAGCCAAGAGTCTGCTGATCAATTCATAACAGGTGTAGCTCATAGCTGTGCAGAAGGCTGGGGTAAAGTATATGCTTTACTTGTCAGGTTTGGGAGACCTAAGTTATGCTTTGGACCTGTGGTGTTTCTCTGATCCACAGCCACTACAGCTGGTCTATGAATTTACTAATATAACAAGGTGGCCACTGCTTCGCGTTGAACCCAGCACAGCTACTGCAGGATAAGAACTCATATTCTCATTTCAAGTGTAACGCACAATCCACAAGAGCACCTCCAGCTGTATACAGCAGTGGATCTATGACATACAGCCAAGTAAGCAGTTAAATTCATTTATAAAGTAATGCTGACAGAGGGCACAGCTTCCTCAGCTACCAGATGCAGATGCACTTGCACAAAAGAGAACTAGAGAAATTAAAACTCCTGAAGTCACTCCATCCTGCAAAATACAGAATAACTCTTCCCACTCAGACACAGACAGTATAGACTCCAGCACTTTCTCACGAAGTCCCATTCTGCACAAAATACCATTTTTCTGGTGTCCAGTTGAAACCCTGTTATTCTCATCTAATAATTCTTTGAACCCAGTTTCTCAGTACATTGTTTTTTCTTGATATTTTCACCCTGCAGCTATTTCAAAACAGGCAGCTACAACACCCCGAGTCCTCATTTTGGCAGGCGTGTTTCTCCTTTATGTGTCAGTCACTTCCACTTCTCACTTAAGGGCTCATTTTACGTAGGCAACACTCATTCTTGGAAGTCATATGACTTCAACGGGGCTTCAATAGAGAGAGATATACATTTGAGGCCTTTGATTTGTACTGTGGTTGTTACTTCATGTTTCAGATAATGAGTTTGCAAGTCACTGGGATGGATTCTATTACCCACTTTAAATGGAAGCCAAATTTTCCTCCCTGAGCACAAAAGACTTGAGTTGCATAGCAGTCAAAGTTTCAGCAAATTTCTTATGTCTGTCACACTTGCTACCACTCACCTTCAAAAGAGTTTTGGCTGTAGTTACGCAGAAAGACTGCATTTGCTCCACTTCCTCCCCACATTCACACCCCCACCTCCACATGAGAGATATGTTGACATGTATTGTTGGTCACCACAACATGCCACTGAGTGGCATCCTTCAAGAACGTGGCACAGGCTCCTCCAAAACGTACCAGCCATGGGCACAGCATAATCAATGAGAGGAATATTGGATAGGTCAAGACCAGAGTAAGAGCAACAGCAAATAATACCTCATATCCCGTGATTGCTATCTGGTGCATGGAGTCATTTACTGATTTGATGATATCGAGCATCGTGGCCAGGGCTTCTTCCAATTCAGCTGTACCCTCTGAATTCTTGCTGCACTTCAGCATTTCCTGATTAAAAAAAAGATCTGAAAACTACTTGAAAACTTCTTATACCAGAAGCCACCATAAAAGACAATTCTCCCTGAAATTTGTGCTGCATAGACCGAAGTAGCAGAACAATAGAAAAAAAACAAAACCAAAAACCCAATACCCCAAACCAAACAGGACATTCACCAGGTTTGTCATTGAGGACATACGTTTTGACCTTTTGGACATTTTCAAGTTTTATGGGTTCATTTAAGATAAGACAGGACCATTCTGACATATTTACAATTAACTTTTTGCATGTCACAGAATTATGTCCAGGTTTTTTTTTCAGTTCACGTCTGCTAGCAAAAAACCTCAGTCTTAATATAATGATTTCAGGTGTTACAGAATTCACCATTTCCCTTTGCAGTTTGTTCCACAAGGTACTTATGACTGTTAAAAGAATAAATTAATTTCTAGTCTGAATTTGGCAGGTTTGACGTTCCACTCATCAGGTCTCAGGAAGCTTTTGTCAGATAAGGAAATACTGCATGGGAAGAAGTCACTTCCTGTGTAGATGCTTGTAGACTTATGATCAAACCATCTCATAAATCTCTCTTCTTTAAATTAAATGAGACTTTTTAAATCTATGAGACAGGTTTTTCAGCTGTTAATTTTGTTGGAGAGGAAATAGGCCAGATTACTATACATCTTCCCCACTTCTTATTTTCTACCTCTGCACTAGAATCTACAGATCTACATTTGCAAATTTGAAAACCTTTTTTGAGAGAATAACTTTGAAGAACAATGTTGACCTCTAGCAAAAATTCATGAACCGTTATATTCTGTTTGAAATAAGGGAAATTATTCTGTCCTCCAACCCTTGCACAAGGAACAAGAGACAAAGTTCTGGATAAGTTATGAAGCATGTGCCCAAAGCAAACTTTCACGGCTCAATTTCCGTAAACACTCCACATACAGAGATCCTATTTAGAGTTCCAAATATTTAGGGCCAATTACTTACATAGCCCAGTACAGTTCCTTACGAGGATGACTTTTCTTATTTCTATATGCATCTTTTGCTTGAAAAGTTCTAATCATAGCTCAGGACTTAATTCTCTTCTTGTAATCAATGATTATAACACATGCAAATCCTGAAAGACACTAAAATCTTCATTTTAAGTGAAATTAAGTGCCTTGCCTCTTGCTCTTCTGCCTACAGAGGAGCCCTGAACCTGATTCAGATGCACAGATGATTTTTTTTCCCCATTGTATTGTACAGAAAGCAGATACTGCCAGTGAATATCCACCTGAGATCAGAATCAGACTCTCTGTCTTTGCTAAAAGCATCTAGGGAAAAAAAGGTTAACAGACACAAACCCACATATGGTTCACACAGTCTTGAGAAGACACGAATCTCAAAGCAGCTGAAAGATCCCAAGAATTTGAAACCAAAGCCAATCAGGACTGCTACAATTCAACAGAAAAAGTAAGATGACTGTAACTAAAAGTAGTAAGATAACTGATCACATATAGTGACCTGTGATTTTGATGCTTGGAATCTGCATCCATTCATCATCTGAAAGAATAAGTTTATTGGTTGTTAATGAGACAATAGTTCCAGTGACAGAATTCTTAACAGAATAACCATTTTATTCATCATTATTGACTTGTCCCTACCCTATATATATACCAGTGGAATGAAAGAAGCATTTGGCTGGTTGCAATTTTCACTTCCGAAATGCAAACTGTGAAGAAACTAAGAAATAAATTCTTATAATACTAGCACCTCACTAAGAACTGTATGGTAAGTGAGTTTAGCTTTGTTTCCTTATGCTGACTACAATGTCAACAGAAACTATGCTCCAGAAATACACCTAGGAATGAATCAAGACTCTACTGACTTTAGTAATCTTTATTATGACAAGAATTAGATGCCTTCAGCAGGTATGGCCATTGACATGGTTTTCATTCAGGTATATCATTTTCAGCCATATTTTGAGTTTGGAAATAATTTAATCCAAAAGCTGAGGCACTTGTGTTCCTGTAAGACAGGGCTGCAAAAAGGTAGTTCTTGCAAACCCGAAACAGCAGCAATCTCTCCTCAAGTGCTTGAGTGACTAGGGCTTAGAATGTAAAACCAGGATGCATTCCTATAGTACCTGTTGCACAATTTGTAGGATGAGGATGGATCCCTGCTCTCTGTACAGTGGGCATGCTGCTTCATAATAGTGGCTAAACCAATTGAAACCAGAGAGTTGCAATAATTGTGACCCAGATTTTAAAACTAGTCTGCCCATCACTCAAGGCACACAGCTTCTAGGGACTTGTTTGTTACCAGTTTTTCACCGACTCCCATTTTCCTATGCTTTTAAATGCTTCTGCTGCCAGGGAAAGAGCACACCATCTTCACAGATCTCGTAATCCCTGACAAAGTAAATGTCCGTGCCAATGTGCTGTTGCTAAGCACAAAACTGGTCTGACCACCTTCAACCCCAATGGCTGCAACCTGTTTCGCTTGAGAATTTTACTCCTTGATTTAATCTTGGTTTTATTTACAGTCATATTTCAAATTAAAAGTAGAATCTGGTTTACTCTTGCTCTTCTGAAGACCTTAACATTTTCTCCCTTGTCATAGAATAGTTTCAAGAAATAGAGCCAAATTTACTTCTGGATTATCTTGATATAAATCTACTGGAATTAGTGAAGTTGTGTCCTTGTTAATAATCCCCTTCAATATTTGCATTCTACAGTTCTGTGTAAAGTCAATAAACAAGTCACAGAAATACTGCACAAGTGAATGGCCGGCCAGATCCTCACATGGCTTAAATTGGCTTAATTTGACCAGTGCTATGGTAGCTATTAGCAAATAAAATTGCAGCCTAAAATCTTCATTTCAATTTCATGCTAAATTTCATGACAGTACACAACACTAAATCATTAAGTCTAGAGGCTTGAGAACAGCATGTAATTCACCTTCATGACCTTCTCATAAGGAAGGTCAGTAACTATTACTTTTCAGAACTGAGGAGATGAAGACAGAAATTTAAGCCACCATCTTCAAAAAGTGTCATTGGTCTTCCCTGTTGCCCAGTTCACATCAGAATTTCAAGCATGGACCACTCACAGTTACAACTAAATCAAGAGGGAAGTTCACATATTCATCCCACACAAAAGTTACAATTTGTTCCTAGCTGGGTCTTTAAAACAGAATCACCAGAAAGGAGCAGCTTCTTCTGAAAGGTTTGAGTCACAACCATAGGAAAATATCAGGTTCAGAGAGATGAAAGTTTCAATAAACAGGGACAGATGTCAGACACAGGATTTAAAGCCTCAGTTCTCATTTTCAAGCTGTAAGACCATACAGCAATACAAAAAAAGCCAAATTCAATTTCTGTTTAAAGATAAATAAAACAATAAATAATAAAATAGAATACTTAATACACAAAATATCTTTTATATATATATAATCATATATTGCTATTGCTTAGTATCTAAGTACTGCTCAGTAACAGCAGTACTTATTGTGAAACAGAAGTCCTTTCTTTGACTTTTTGTTACCATTTTACAACTTAGCATTACAAAGTATTTGTTGAAGAAGTGAGAGAGGATTTATTTCCAGGTAGTCCTTCAGAAAATAATGCTGATATGCAATTCTGTAAGTAATTGGAATTCTTCCACTGCCATGGAGAACTTACCTTTAACAGCAACTGGTACTTGGTGATTCTCTGGACTGGCTTTAAGAGATAAGCATCTAGCGAGAGCTTATGATCCAATTTACGTTGACATTCCTGTAAGACACAACAGGGAAGAAAAATATAATTGTTTCTTGAAACACAGGCAAGACACCAAGATCATTATCATTTGGTTATCTGAAGATTATATGTCTGTGAATTGAGAGAAAAATCTGTTCCATTTGCACAGGAGTTTCCAGGTTACTTATACCACAGCAAAAATGTATCTAAACAAGAGCTAATGTTTAGGTCCAACTTAGTGTCGAAATCTGGCATGCCCTGCTTATGAGATTGCAATCATCTGGGGCTTGCAAAGAAACCAGCACTTCTTTGGTTTGGCTATAGCCCGAAGATAGCCTGGTCAGGCTCCTGTCCAGGGAATCTCTCTACTACTCTACCTACCTAGTCTCTTGTACAGAGCACTTTGACACACACTGAGCACCTGCCATTGGTATAAGCAGCACGCAGAAAGGTCTGTATATTGCTCTAAGTTTTCTAAAGAAAGAAAAGATACAGAAGGAAAACAAGCTTTGATGGTCTTGCACTGCTAGTCTGCAATGAAATTCCACCTGAAAAAAGATGCTGTCTCCACACTGTCTCCAGAGAGCTTCAGACCGTGGCTTGTTCTGACAATATTTTTCATATATTTGGAGGTCCTCTTTCTGCAAGAAAAGGAGAGTTTAAGTAAGGTAAGAAAAAAGAATCCACAGAACATCTGCCTTGAGTCACGCTTTTTCTTACCTTCCATCCTAACACATGAAGAAGTTAATACATGCAGATAACTCTGTACGTAAAAATATACTGAAGCTACCAAACTTGCTTTTTACTCCTGTAAAGTTAAATACAGCAGGAAGTGATTTCCCCCCCACACACACTTTTTGCACAAAGCAAGGAGACTTCAGACTGGAAGACACACAATCTAATTGCAAAATTGTTATGTTCCAGGGAAGGGGACAGAGAGTTTAAAAAAAAAAAAAAAAATGTAAATTTTGTTAACAATACTAGCACAGATGTTATTGCTCACCACTTAGCTAAGGTTTACATGTTCAAAACAGCTTGAAAATAGTGTTGCCTCTCAATAGTACAAGGATGACTTAAAAAGCAGCAAGCTTGCCTTGTTGACACCTCAGACCTGGCAGGGGGAAGTACTTAAACCCTGTCCTATGCAAATTAGAAGTGGGTGGATTCACTTGACCTCTGTTTATCTTTGACTACACTCCAGGTGCTCTCACTGAAGTCCATGGCAAAAAAAAATCTCACTGACTTCAGTGAAAACAAGGGCAATCTCTACAAAAGCTGTATTTTGAGCTCCCTAGGCTGTATGGGTGGATAGAGAGAGACAGGGGTTCCTCTGCCAGGTTCTTGGCTCGCTATCTGTGCACCCAGTTGTGCAGAAGCCCTGCAGCCACATGACCATGGAGCAGGGCCATACAGATTCCTGAGCAGGACTGGCTGTGTCTGACCGGCTGGGAGCTTCCCATCTTTGTCTGCACCTATCCTGGGGAACGTGACCTCAGTGAATGAAAGACAGTACCAAAAAAACCCTCAGGAATTCCTGGCTCTTGCCTCTGTGCTTTCAGGCCACTAGACAGCACCTATACACTCTTGGTGCAGGGAAAGCATTTTCTTTTGTACAGAGTTACTAGAAGAAATCAGTATTGCTGCTATCTTCCTCTATACACCCATACTGGCATCACCCTGATGAATCATACATGGAAGCAGAGCTATGCCATGCAACACCTTACTGTGTTAAGGATTATGCAATATAAAAAGCTCTGTTGCAACTGAATAGAGTATTAATGGTGCTGCTTCAAAGTGCAAAGTCTTGTTCACACAAACAGAATTATTTGTACACGTTACCTTGGACAGAAGGTAGCAGGGGGTAAGACCGACAAAAATAAAAGTAACAACAAAGTGTACTCAAGCATTACAATTTGTTCCCAGCCCACAAAAACCTAATTGAACTGGGCAAGAAGAACAGAGACAGTGACAGTCAAAAGCACTGTTAGGAGTAAGTGAAGGTACTATAATCAACTCTTTACCAGCAATTTGTCATACTGGAACCACCCTATGTCAATGCAATCTACTGCTGCCTAAATTAGTGACACCTGCTCAGGCAGGTACTTACATTTTTAAATACAGCTTTAAGTTTTGTAACAGTGTAAGGAATAGGAAATTCCTGATGAAATTACTAGGATGAGACTCTAAAATGCCAAGAAATAATTAATTGCCTAATTACTCAAATCCCAATCTTAAATGTTCCACACATCTCTATTTTCATATCCAGATGTTCTAACTTCTCACTGGTACTTTTACACCATGTTCTTCTCTCCTGTAATTCTTTTCCTTTCGACAGTGATTTGCAATCTGAGATCTTTGTAAGCTTTCACACACATGGCACGTATGAACAGTTCCAATTATCTTTTTGACTGCTGATTTATGAATAAATTTTGCTTCAGGTTAGAATTTAGCCCTTTGAATCCAACTCACAGGTTTCTGGTCAGCTGCTACAGTCCTTTCACAGATAGCTTCTTTTTCTAAATGCTTCTTTCTCCCTGAATGACCAAATGCCCCAACTGCTGGCTCCTGTTAGATTACTCTCTTTTTCCAAGGTTAGCAATATGAATAAGTAAACAGTGGTAATCCACAGTGAGTCACTCCTGCCAGGCACCTCACCTGGCACACGTTGGTAAGCAGTCTGACACACCTTTGGTTTCTTCCTAGGCATTCCTACCTTGGCAAGCTTTCCTCCTCCCTAGCGCAGTGTTTAGCAGATCAGCCCAGACTGTCCCTCTTGTTACTGATAAAGCACCAGAAGACCCATCCTGCAAGGCATTCAATACACATCCCTCCCCTCTTTGAGCATCTGTGCAGTCCTTGCACACAGAGCTTTAAGCAAAGTCAAGCCTCTTGGTGATGGTATAATTGATGCCATGTGGGCAAAATTGAGCTGGCTTACTTGTAATTTAGTTCATATGAAGATCATACCCTAACAAGGTCAGGCAAAGCGGGAAGGAGGAGAAGAGGGGTATTTCTCACTCATTTCTCATCTAAGTCTGCCACCATGTTCCAGGAGAGAAGCCAGAGAGGAGGAAAAGGCTGGGACTCCACAGACTGTTTCTACCATCACCTGGAAAGAAGGATTCACATCCATCGTGACAGCTGACCAGGTGGCACTGGTGGAGGTGGCAGAGTGTGTGGGGACATGGCAGAGGAATGACTGGCAGGGAACAGAGGAAATCGGGCACTAGGGTCTCCTGCTGCAGCTCTGAGGACACTCTCAAGCAGCTTTGGAATCAGGGCTGAAAAGTCCCAATGTGATCAGACAGGGTAATATTCTTCAAGCATGAATCTAAAAATCAGTCTGTTTCTAATCATGTGCCCACCATGATGTTGTGGCAGGATGGTTACACTCATACAAAGACGGAGAAATGGAGAAGTGAATCTGCAATAACGTGAGTTTCCTCCCAGAACTCAGCATCACCTTGAACAGCAGCCGTTTCAGTTTCCCCCATGCCAAAGCAAGCACGGCCATAACTCACAGGGCAA